AGTAGTCTAATTTCCCATATACTGTTTGCTGCTCAAAACCGAGCAAAAATATTTAAAACCCAAGTTGTCTTTCATGGCAGACTTCATGCCTATGAGTCAATCTCATCTTACTATTCAGCTGCCGAGCGAATTTGTCCTTGAAACCCAAATTTCCCATACATCACTGACGTGTGTTTAGCAAGACCTTGAAATTACGCAATAGCGGGAGAGCTGAAAGCTGCTGCCAAATCTACCAGCTGGTCCTGGGCGGCTAGAGCTGACCAGGAGCTGCAGTTTCGGGCACTGCCGTGCTGCAGGCTGAAGGCAGCAGCGCTGCTGCCTGGGCCCCTGGCACCTTGCTGCCCCCTTGGCCAGGTGAGGAAATGCAGATTTACCCCAGAGAGCAGCACGCGGGGGTGTTGTTCCCCTGACATTGGCTGGGCTGTCACTTTTGTCACGTTTTGGTTGCCCCAGATGGTGCACTTTTTCTCAGGGAGCTGTACTGGAAAGAGAGAGGTCTGCACTGTTGTGGTGGGTCCTGTGGCACGCTGCCCCTCTCAAAATGCAAGGAGGGAGAGGGGGAATGTAGCCCCTGATTTTAGCACTCCAGAGTTAGCTATTCTGAAAACAAGTCTTGGGCAATTGATTTTGATACTTTTTTTTTTTTCCCCCAAAGGACTTTCTGTGGTTCTGACTAAGAGAGAAAAACAGTGTTGGTCCTGTAACTGGTGTTAGGATTTACATCCCAATTAGCTGATATCAACACATTTATTTTTGCTAAGCTACAGACCTATAAACTTGTTTGTTTTTTTATTATTTCCAGACCCACTTATCCAAAACTGCCAGCATCTTTTTGGATGATTCCCACAGGACTTTGGGAGGTGGGGAAAAGGGTATTTATTTGTCATGGTGTTCCTTTATTTGCTTTTTATCTGCTTCTTTCCACTGAAATGACAGCAAAGGTTGCGTGTTGTTGTAGTTAGCTCTTTGTGTATCTGTTTTCATCTAAGGACTACAAGATACTGGGCCAATCTACATTTTTGTAGTAGTCTTGAAATGCAGTAATCAAAAAGGATGTATTGCTTTGTTCACAAAGCCTCAAACAAAAAGGAGAGTGAAACTTCCCGGGTCTCTTCCTATCTGCTTGGCTAAGTCTAACGAATCTTTTGTTAACCAGGAGTCAAAAATCCATTAAGAGTATTTTTGCTCTTTATGCTCTACCTCATACTTCTACCTCTGTTTGGGTAGACCTTGATATAGTTGTTTTCCAGTGGCTGGAACCAAATTTGTGAAATGCCATTAAGTGTCATTGAAATGGAAGCTCCAGCTTACGCCCTTACGCAGCCCATGAGTACACAGGCATTTGTTAACGTATGTTACGTGAACAGTTAGATCGGAAGCTCGGACCTTTCAGAGGAACTTCCCTGTTTTTCACAGCTTACATTTCACAGTTTATTCCTGTGGGGTTTTCTTTGTTTGTTTGTTTTAATGAGACAATCCTCCCTTACCTTGAAGGAGCTGAGTGTTTGATGTGACTTTGTTCGGGGAAGTGGTAGCACCCGCTTGCATACTAAGCATGAATCATCAGTGTCATTAGATACTCAAGTGTTTTAAGTGGATCTCGATATATCAGGCTCTGCTCCATATAGTCTGTGCATCTGTATTAACCGGGTTTCTTAACTATTGTGTTTTTCTACTTGACAAATTCTCAGCAGAAGCATGTACAGCAGTTGCTTCTAAAAATGCCACATTTGTAACTGGTAACTGTGCTGTTACTGGTGGTTTGTTCTGCGTGTATTCTATATTCACGTTCTATTTTAAAATCTCCCTTTTAAAAAGAAAATGCATGGAACAGTTATCAAGAAATGCTGCAGAGAGCTACCACAGTCCAGAAGAATTTACAGCAGAATACAAAGCAGTGCAGCTAATCTATGTCTCCTCAAGCAAAAGAGCTGTGTAACACACAATCTAGACAGCAGAGGCTTAGCTCCATGAATTCATGTAGCTCCACTGAAGTCGCTTCTAAGAGGATCGGCCCTGACTCTGAGCATGTTCCTTGTGAAGCTATTCATCATGCAGCACCCAGCACATGCAGCTGGGGCAGGATCAAACTGCATGTGCATCAGAGAAGGGAAATGCATGCCTGAATACATGCATGGCTGCAAAGGTAGGGTGACTGAATTTCTTAGCATTTTAGAGGGTGGGGGGGAAGGAGACAATGACAATTCCAAAAAAAAAAAAAGTCAGGAATCAATATTCAGGAAGCTTTTTGAAATTGCTCTGTATCACAAAAAATAACAAGTAGAAGGTCAAAGTCCTAAGACCACGCACTGAGATTATGAGAGGCCCTTTCAAATGGGGTGGAATCCATGTCTACATTAGTCCTTGTTTCAGGAAAAGGGAATATTTTGAATGTCAGGAATTATTCTATTTTTCTCAGCAATCTGACTGAGGATGAGTACCTTTCCCACTTGTAATTTAAGTAATATTAAGTCAGCTTGTTTCTCAATGCCAGGCTTCAAGTCCTACGCAGGTGCAAGTTCATCATTGTTGAATTTACCAGCCAAGTGAACTCTCTCCTTTGGTATTTAACTACTGCATCCCTCATCACATCGCCCACTGCTGCAAGTAACGATTTGTTTTTGTCAGATTTAGACCTATTTAATAACAACCTCAAATAATAAATGCTTCTGTTTCTGTCAATCAATACCCCTTCTTTATAACTTTTTCAACATAAGGTCAAAAAAAAAAAAGACATTGTTAAAACTTTGGGAGCTGATGCTAGAGCTCACTTCCACTGACAGTCTCTGCATACAGTCCCAGCTGGATTAGCATGAGCCAAATGCCAGGTTAGCCCCTGGTTGTAGAAGAAAGGCTTCTCTAGGCTGAATAATAATAATAACAATTTGTGACCTTGCATGTTTAGACCCATGTTTCATCCACTTTTTTCCTCTTTTCTTGTGCTGAGTACTTCAGATGATCAAAAATAGCTGGCAACCCTTTTTTGCTTGTTTGTTTTATAAGTATTCTTTTGAACCGACAAGACATGAAATCCTTGGACCAAAGGACAGCATTTGTTAGTAGGTTATAAGTGTCTGAAAGTGGAAATGCTGAATATATTTACCTCAGCCATGATTTCACTGCCATAATAAGATTTTTTGCTCTGCTGCATGCACCAGGACTTTAAGATTATATTAGCTTACTTCGAGCTAAATCCAGATAGGGGATTTTGTTACAGAATATGCAAGGAGAGGTTTGTGGCCCTAGAAAGTCTCTTCAGTTCTTTTTTTTTAAGAAGATACTGGCTGGCTGGAAAGCCAGGGGACTGTTATGTAGTGTTTTCATGCAATCCCAGCTAACATGACGGTGACCTTCCTGCTCACACCCACGCGTGGCTCCCGAGGACCAGGCAGTATCTTGGTCGTGCCTCTCCCAGGCAGCCCTCTGCTTTCCCTTCGGGTTGCTTGGTGTAGATCTCTCTGCTGAACCTTGCGGTGACCAAACAGGTCCGAAGTCAGTGAGCAGCGTGTGCTTTGCACGACGCCCTCGTTGAGCCCCTGCTACAAAGCCACAGTGGTGGCAGAAGAAGCAGTCGTGGGCCAGTACAGCCTGTACCGGAGGTCACCCGCCCGTACGGTACGAGCGCCTAAGTAAACCCTTGTGTTCCCCCTCGGTAGGAGCATCCACAATGGCTGGAGCTTAACTACTATCATTTGATGATTCATTTGCAGTGCTTATTTTCTAAAAATTGCATAGCCTGTTCTCAAAAGCAACGCAAAGAAAAAGGCAGCTGTTATGAAAAGAGAGGAAGAAAAACTCCACATACAAAACACAGAGCTTTAAAGAGCCAACCCCACATTGTTAGGGTAGGAAAAAAACAACAATTTGCCCTGTCTTATCCTTGAAAAAGCTCAGAAATAGAGTTATATTTTTGAGGCACTACTCATACATATTTTAGACAATTAACCAAAACACTTGTGAGTCTTAAGAACATATGCATTTGGATTTGGTCCTGACTGACATTTCTTACTTTTGTGAGTTTCACAGAGAACAGAATAGGGAATTTTTTCCTGTGGTAACAATGAAAGTCTTTTATATTCAAGTGCTAGTGGATTTCAGTCATGTCATTATGATACTGAAATAAACCCACTACTTTTTAAGGGTAAGAAGCATCAGAACTGACCAGTCCAAAGTTTACTCTTGTTGTATCACTGGATATGAAGATTTTCAATGCTGTGTAATGTTTTTCAAAAAATACTTATTTCTGTGCAAACAACTGACGAGCAAAAAAACTGTAGCTGAAACTTCCCATTCAGAAATTCTGTAACATTTCATTTAGGAATTCATGATTGAGATAAAACTTTGACATCTCCAAATTCTTTTTTTTTTTCTTTCATTTGTCTGAATTTTAGATTTCTTCTTCCTGAAAAAGAAAACTATTGTTCCTCTCCCCCATGTCTCCCAATAGACCAGGCTGCTCAGCCTGGGGTTGTGTGTGTCTCGATGCGTCAGGGGCGTGCAGCCTCTGTGCCTGGGGGGAGCTCTGCTCTTGCTGCTGAGTCCAGTTGACAAGGCACCAAAATCAGGTCTAAATCAGGACCAAAGTCCAGGGAGGTACTCCAAAGCCCAGAGAGACACAGCTTATCCCCAAACAAAATGTTTGGTGTGCCCTGAAAGTGATGTATTTTCCTGTGTGAATTAAGCATGCCTTTTAATGAAGTACTTCAGGGAGAGGTTGCTGCTGGAAGATTCCAGTTTTCAGCGTAAGGTAAAGTGCTTCCTTGGAAAACCTCCAGCTGTTCTGTTTGGTTCTGCTGACCAGCTCTCTTCTGAGGTTCTTATATTCCCATTTGCATGTTTTACCTGGGAAATGTTTTTTTGCGAAGGATTCTCTTCTTCTGAGATGTGCTCCCTCTTCTTAGGAGTAGGGAATGAAGGAAGCAGTGCTGCTTCTCGAAGAGGAAGAAAGGCATCACAACGTAATACATTTTCTTGCAGACTGATACACATTTATGTTGCAGGTCCTGACCAACTTGAAGCCCAGAGAAACAAAAATCCCTGCCTCTGTGTGTGTAGCTAAGGGAATAACCCACAGGATGAGTCATGAATGCAGCATTACTAATGACCCTACCCACACCACAGCTGCTGAACCTTCCTGCAAGGCAGAATCAGCCGCAGACCTCCCCCAGATGCCAAGAACATCTCATCAATACTCCCTGCAGCTGATGATCTCTGACAGGCTTTCAAACCTGGCCCCCACCTTCTTGTTGAGGAGCCTGTGTGGGGACTCAAAAAAAAATCTGTTCCCTGCCCCATGCGTGACAGGACCTACCCACGTCCTTTCCCTGGCCTCAGCTCCTGTGCCATGAGATCCCACAGCCCCCGGTAATCATCGTACCGCTGATTTCACCTCTAAGTCATGAAGCTGCGGCAGGGGATCACACTACATGAGTGAATGCATGCAAATAAATGTAAAGCACACAGAATGGGGTAATTTCTGCAATCTTAATAATGTGGCTATGTGCCTATTAGCATTTTCTTTGATGGAATAGCTTTCCTTTGGCGTAGGGCAGCATATTTTTTTTTAATGACCTTTGTAAAGGCAATTCATGAAAAAACGGGTAGAAATAGTGCAGTGTTGTTTCTGGATTGGGCTAAAAATCATTTTGCAGCTCTTGTTAAACAAGCAGCATTTCTGCGAGGGCAACACAAAATCTGAGTTGAAAGTGGAATTAAGATCCAAAAAAGGGCGCGTAGAAAGCTAGGATTAAAGAAGACAGGAATGTGAAATTCCAGCCAAAGAAGAAAAGTCTGATAAATATATTGGAAGCTTTTGATAGCTGGAAAATACATAGAAGGGCATCTCGTTTCATTTTGGCTTTTGCTTTTAGCTGTCAGTTTACTATGACTGAGTTTTTGTTTGCATTCTAAGGAATGTTTTGGGGAATGGCGTTTCTTCAGCTTCTGACTGATCAGCCAAATAAATGTGAAGGATTTGACCTATGAACGTGAGTTCTCGTGTTGTTTTCATTAAATCTAGATTAAGTCATGGATTTTTCTTTTTGCATCAAGGTCTGTCATTCTGTTTTCTCCTTTGTATTTCATTTTTCTGTTTTGCTACTGTTGCTGTTTTCTTCTGGGCCAGTGGAAGCCCGCACACACATTAGGAATAAGTCATTTTCATAAAAATCCTGGCACTTCCCATTTGCAAACCTATTCATGAGTACTGCTGCCTTTTTAAGCCCTGTGCTGTCTTGCAGTGCAGCCAGGGTAAGGGTTTGCCATTTCATCACTCCCACTCTCCCACTGCTGCAAGATACTCATCCTGCTGAGCTGGAGCTACGTGAGTGACCCTTGCTGAGAGTTGCTTCTCCGCGGTTCTTCGTGTGGGTGCTTGACCTGAAAGATGCTTCTCAGAGTTGCTCAGTCTGTTACTAAGCATCTAGAGAACGTGTTTGTTTTTTGACAGAACTCATTTGTTGTGTCCAGGGGCTTTAGCAGGCGTTCTCACAGCCCTTGCTGCCATGTTGAAGTTTCCGTGAAGTGAGGTGCTGTTGCCCATGCTCCCGGTTCCAATGCAAGTGACACCAAGCATGTGGGCCACTTTCAAGCGTGGCTTTGTTCCCCTTTTCATTCTTGGTGTCAGCTGTGAGAAAACATAGAGCTTTGTGCACTTTGAAGAAGGCCACTCCCAGGTTATCCGTGCTAAGCTATTGCCTCAGAGTAGTTCAGAAGGAAAAAACAACCACGGGCTTCACTTGATACTCCTGGAGCCAAAGGCTGCAGAGTTGCTGCTGAAGACTCCGTTTTCTTGTGTGACCGTGTACAAAACCTTTGACCTTAAGTCAAGGAAAGAGGATCGATGGTAATGGTTCCCAGCCTGCTGAGATGCGGTTTGGGGAGACCAAGAGGTTTTTCAGGGTCTGGGAAAACAAGGTGGGGTAAAACAGACCTTCACTGCCGTGTGAGTGAACAGTTGCTGAAAAAGATTAAGTGCTGAATTATTGGTATGAATTCAGAAACTGCAGCTTTTAATCTCATGCTGGCTTCTTCTCAAGGAAGATAGAGTTCTCAGGGCCCTGTGCAGCACTATTGACCCTTGGGATACTGCACTTATTTTCAACATACAACTTCCAGGTGGTAGAAGGCTTTCAGCTAAACCAATGTTGTCTGTTATGGTTGCGCAGAAAAGCTTGGAAATAAAATATGTCAAATATAAAAATTGAAAAACTAATTTTAAGCCAGCCCTATGATTTCAGTGTGATTTGTGCTACCCATCTCTATTTTCTTTTGAAAACAAAGTCAGCATCAAACACATTTTTTAACAGGAATTAGTTTGGGCACCAAACAAGTAGCTCATCCAGAGCATTTTAGTATTGCTGTACTGCAGACCTATTTGAAGTCTAGGGCTTAATAAAGTAATTTTTAGCACTTAGGAACAGAAGTTTGGATTAGAGCTGCATATGTAGCAGTGTGCCTTAATCTGAATTAATTGATTCTGGGAAGTGAAAGTCAAGTGCATGAATCTACTGTGTGAGCAAAGATAATGGATTTTCAGTTGGGATGTAGGAGATAGCGACAATTTACATCAGTACGTGCTTATTGATATTTTCATACTTTTGTTGAAGAAATTATAGCATAAATTTATTCCTTCCTCTTCTTCTAGAATGTTTATCTGAAAATGGGAATCACTTCGGTTTTCAAGGATCATTGGATATTTACTGAGCGTATAAAACCAAAAAGTGGTAATCATATTTTAGAAGGAATCACTTGTTAACTCTTGCTTGTGTGTTATGCTGTGAATACAGGGTAGTTTGCATTGCTGAGAATTATCACAGAAGTGTGTATGGAAACATTAAGAAAGAAAAGCTGAAAACAAGCTTAGCCAACTGATGAACTAGGTTTCGTTCTGCCTTTATCTTTAGCTCCCGCACCAGGAGGAAAAGTATTTCTAATTGATGACATTCCTCAGTATTTGACAAAAAGTGAAGCTACTGTGACTTCCATACTTTGCTGAGGCTGGATGAGGAGTCAGGGGACATAGAGAGAGCTGCTGTGCATGGGCAGAGCAGTGTGGAAGAGTTTGCACTAAACTTGACCCGTATCAGTGCTACCAATTTGTCATTCTTCACAAACATAAGAGGCATCACGCTGCTGTCTGCCTGCCCAGTGGTGCTCCAGGAAATGTTGAAGGCTAGTGCAATGAAGAGGCTTAGTAAAGGGATTGATTATTTCTTGTTTTCCCCCTTCCCTCCAAGTCTGTTTCATTCTTGGCAGAGACGGTTTCACCTTTCAGAACCAGCCGCGAGGGCATCATTCACCTGCGCTCCTCTGGGATGAGCTTGCTTCATGAATACAGCAGCAGAGCTGAAATGTGCATGGGACTTGTAAAGAAGGGGGGTAAAACAGATTTGATGACTGAGTTCTATCCTGTGTGCGGGCCTTGGCTAGTAAAATCCTTAGCAATAAAAATACAACAGATATATTGAAAGGGTATCCTGGCAGACACTCTCACTTTTTCAAAACACTTTTTAAATTCCCTCTGAAACACTTTTTTCCTTGAAAACATTTTTAAAGAATGTATAGTTATCACGGTCCTTTCATCTATACTTAACGATAATAATCAGAACAGTAGAAATATGCACTTGAAGAATAGATGGGAGCAGGACAAAAACTCTACGGCAGCAATAACTTTCTGCAAAGAGCTGTGCTGTGGAACCCAGTGGAATTTCTTGCTGTGCATGAGGTTCATTGAATGCATGCAATCTCCCTGGCTCAGAGCCTGGCATAAACACCTCGCTCTTCTTTTGGGGCAGATAAAGTGGCTCTGAAAAATGCTTTTTTCTGAGACTCTTCAGCTGAAAATCTAATACCAAATTGTTTCTGTTGCACTTCATTAGAGATGCTTGCAACTGAATTGCTATTGATTGCCTTTTAAACCTGATTCCTCATTTTAAAAAGTTGTAACAGGAAAATGACAGTGATACATGTCTACCTGAGTAGCCCTCTGTCAAAAGTGAAGGAAACTGCAGTACATCAATGACCTGTCAATGGAAGAAAAAAAAGGCTATTCACAATCTAAAGGACCTGATCTTACCATCACTTCAGAGATGCATGTCCTTATTAATGTAAGTAGCTGCATTGCACGTCATGGGATTGCTCATGCTGATAAAAGCAAGCAAGTTGTAGTGATCCTGGAATCAGTACCACAACCATGAAGAGGTGAGCCGGAGGCTGCAGGGATGGGACAGCCACCGGAGCGGTGCGTTTTGCAGGCCAGAGAAATGGTGTGTGGGGATGGCTAAGTATTTATGGTCTATCCTATACTGCTTCCACAGTGATGCTTCTGTGCATCAATATCTGAATTCAGTATCTGAATTCAGACTTGCATGTGTCACTTTTCTGATCATTGAATCGTTTGAAAAGTCACACCCAAACAAAGCCAGTCAAGGTGACTGAAAAATGACATCCAAAAGCTTGGACTCCTGGGGAAGAGACCTGACAAACAAAATGGCCTGCCTGCAAAGGAAACGGGTTGTTTCCAAAGTGATCCAGCAATTGTTGCTCCTCTTCTCCTGAGTTTTAAGTGATGTCAGAACATCGGGGTTGATGGAGCCTTCTCAGCCTGCTCCAATTATAGCATCTTTGAAGAAACTTGAAAGTTTTCTTTCCATAAGCATACCTTTCTCCAAAAAATGGTGAAATGCAAAGCTTATAAGTATTTGAACATCTTGTCCTACTCTCCCACATTCCTACACAGTTTGAAGAAAATTACCTTTGTTCTTTGATATGTTGTTTGCAAATTTGTAGTTGGAGGTGCTTGTTTGTTTGTTGTTTGTTTGTTTGTTTGTTTTTAATTATAAGAGCCCAACATGCACCACAGTAAGTTTCACTTTCTACGGTCCTTGACAAAAAATTCTTCATAATAGCAGTTTTGGCCAATCTTTCAACAAAATTAACTTAGATCATGTTCAGATTTATCCAAAATACTATCCATCCTGTGGATATTTTGAACCTTGTTGCTTCCCTCTTTTGATTTGCAAACTGCTGCTGTGGAGATCAATGATTAACCCCTGGTCTGTGCTCTGAGTGTGGCTGCTAAGGCACAACTCTTCTAATGGCCAAATGTCAAATAATGGCAACAAAGTGCTTGGGTCAAACAACTTGAATAACACTTACCTATCTACAGCAGTATAGACAATACTGGAAAAGAAAAGAATCAGATGAAAAGTCTGTTTCTCTCTTTCCCTCAACTTCTCTTTGAAAATATTGAACTCATACTCAAAAGATTAAGCATTTGTCTTAAATATGCCTTTGAATAGAGTATGAATTAAACTCAAGTAAAACGCAGCGTAACCTGTGACCAGAAATTCTTATCTCTGGTTACACATAAAACACTTTGCTTATAAATTAGTTGCAATATATTCTCTCAGCTAAGGACATCCTGTCCCAACAAAATGAGTGTACGTACCGTAATGAAATAGGCATTGCTATTATTGTTTGGGGGAGAGGGGATTGTAAGTAAAGCATCATTACATCAAGTCTCTGTAGAGCTTAGACAAACACTTTAATCACGTGTATTTGTGTTTTATTGCGTATGAAAAGCTGGTTGCTCCAACCATTACAGGCAGTGCCATATGAGACCTTGTCTGTTTGCATTGCCATCCATGCACAGAAACTCCAATGTCAAGCCACAGAAGCGCTTGTATGAATCATAGCTGTTAGAAAGAAAGACTTATTAGTCATCTACTTCATTGCCCTTCCTATATAGAATTATTCTATATTGTGCTGTACATTTACTACTTTTTTTTGCCAGTCTAATTTTAAATTATTGAAGAAATGGGGCTCCTGCTGCTTCCCTGGGGAAAATGTTCCAAAGCATAATAGATCTGCTGTCAAAAATATACTAATTTTGTGATATTCATTTTTCCTTTATTAACTTCATTTCATTGCACCAACTTCTGTCTTTTCTGCAGTTTCCCGTGATCTCACTTTGAAGCGTGAGTT